CATCTAAATCACCCTGATCCTCAAGACTCCAGCTCAGTAGGAACACTAGAGTTCAGATCTAGACTAGTAGCAATCATCAAAAGGTCCTCTAAGTCCAAGAGGGTATCACACAAAACCTAAGCTGATGCCTCACAAGATACTCGCCCATTTACATAGACAAACCGGCCCTACCTCCTCAACTCCTCCTGGTTTTACCTATATAACTCAGCCCTAAGTCCATCTGCGGACTTCTCTACTATCCTACCCTGTCTATCATACATCTTACCCCCTGCCTCTGAGACCTTCCCTTCTGCCTTATCCTCAAGGAACTCGAGACAGTCCAAAGCCAGATGCATGCCCCTCTTGCAGTAGAAGCATATCTGATCAACCTTCCTCTTGAACTTCTTCTTCCTGGGCTGAGGAGGTGGCGATGAAGGAGATTCTGTCAAGGTACTGACAACCCCCTGCTGCTCTGATCGAGGAGCTGCGGTACTAACCACCTCCTACTGCTCTATCCCAGGAACCGGTCCCCCAGACCCAGATCCAGTAGCCCAAGATCCCAGTCTGCTCCTCAAATCCCCTGTCACTGGGACGCACTTAGGCGTGTCCAACCTCTGAGGTCTCCTCTCGAGTGTCTCTCCTGGCACTGCCATGGAGTGCTCCTCAATCTCCTCTGGTCCATACTCAGGCGTACCCAACCTCTGGAGCCCACCCTCGATGACACCCTCCGCCTCAACCCCCGTCTCTCTCTTAAGAGGCTCCTCTATCCTCTGCTCGGGTGAAAACAAACTCACCTCCTCCTGCATGGTATGCACTGCCTCAAGGAGCACGCCCATGGATCCCTCTGCTGAGCCCTGAGCCGGCTCACTGCTAGATGGTGGTAGCCCCTCTTCAACTGCCAAAGGTACGACTGGGTCCGCCGCTGCTACGGGCAGCGTCGCGAGCTCGGTAGGGGCTCTGAACTCGAACGCTTCTCTCTCCACCTGTCTCTTGGCTCTTGGCTCCTCTGGCTCCAGGATAACTCTCCCCATAGGTGGCTCCTGGCGAGGCTCTGCTGTAGATGGCTGTCCCGGTAACCCATGTCCTGGCTGCCTCTGCTCTCCCTGTCTGCTGCTCTCTGGCTTGTTCACCTTTCCCTGGGTTTGTTGCCTCAGGCTCTCAATGATAGCTGCCTGACTGGCCACCAATGCCCTGAGTTCCTGGATTTCCATCTCCATAGCCTCCAGGCGTACTCCATGGCTTGTTTCCTTTATCTTCTTCCCTGCCAGATCGCCCTCCAATAACAAGTGCCGGTCAAAAGTTGTCTTGGCCAGGAATTTGATTTTGCGATCTAACCTCTCTTTTGCCTTCCTGGCCACCCAAACCCGGCTCTGATTGGCGAAGGAAGCTCCTCTCCTCTCTGCTCCCAGAAGTCTCTCCACATCTCTGGGATCTCCGGGGCCCTAGCTGGCGCGCTGGGTGGCTGACCTGGGAGCGTCCCTGCTGCCTCCGATCTCTGCCTCTCCTGCTGCTGCTCTGGAAGCTCCCCCGCTGCCTCCAACCTCTGCCTCTCCTGCCATATCTCGCCTATCCTCCTGGTTCTTCTCACCCTCTTTTCCTCTGCTGTCTCTCCAGCTGGCGCCCTTTCCCTCGCGGGGAGGTCGACCCTCTTCGGGATCTCTGCCTCCATCTCCTTCTCGGGCTGGCATGGCTCCTGGCGCGGCTCTGCAGGTGCCGACTCTTCCAAGTCTGGGTGCTCCAGGGCATAAGCTGCTAGGTGTCTGTCAATCAGGGTCAAGGCTTCTCTCCTTACAACTGCCCTCTCTCTCCTCCTTTCGACTCTCCCTTCTGGCGAAGGGGCCTTTTCTGATGAAGGCAATGGGGCCTCCTCTCTCTGCAATCTCTCCCCTACCTGGCGAGTGCTCTCTGGTGCATCCCCGAGTCTCAAACCCACCGCTGGCGTCTGTGGGGGCGTGTCCTCTCCAACCTCTATCACTTCCTTCCCTGCACGCCTCCCCTCATCGCCCAGCCCTCTCTCTCGCTGAGTATTCTGGACCTCCTCCCATGGCACCTCCTCTTGTGATACCTCCTCTCGTGGTACCTCCTCCTATGACACCTCCTCTCGTGGCACCTCCTCTGCCTGCTGTCCATGCTCCTCACCCCGAAGCGACGCCCTCCACTGAGAGATATCCAAATACGCAAGATCGGCAGAACTTCCCGACCATATCCATCATCCCATCCAGTAATACAGCTCACTTATCTTGACATACGTGGCTTGTACCCCTCGATGCCCTCCTGCAATACCATCGAGAAGCGCTGCTACGACGTCGATCTGACGATTCCTCCCGCAAACAACTCTCTTGGGATTCCCCACTTCTCTTCTCACGAAAAGGTGGCCGTCTCGCACTAAATAACGCTGCAGCATCCTCTGAGCCCTATCGCTTGCATCCCTTAGCAGCATTTTGCAGGACAAAAGAAGTCCCAACTCTAGGTAGATCCTATCATACTCCTCTGCACGAAAGGCCTCCTTAATCTCCCCTTCCTCGAACTCGTCGTCCTGGCTCTCAGGCACTTCGTCCACATTCCCTGCCGGGTTCAACGAGCCTGACTCGGCGAGGCTTTCTTGCAATAACGTGTTGACGAGGAGATACATTCCTCCAATCAGGTCCTCATGCCGTTCTACCTGGCCAGACCCTTCCTCAATCGTCCTCATATCCTCCACCAGACTATGTGAGCTGGCCAGCGCTAACTTCATCATCCACTGAACATCTTTACCACCCCAAGGATCCTCTTCTTCAAAGGGTTTGAGGACTAGCTCGGCCGTGCTTTCATACCCATTCAGCGCTTGCCAGATAGGATAGCCTACACAGCTGGACACTCGCGGCGACCACTTGTTGATGTGGAGACGAACATCTTCTTCCTGATCCAGAAATCCATCAACTGGGGGCGTATTTTCCACCGCCTCCCCTTCCTGTTTATCCCAGTTGATCCGACTCAGCCCGTCCGTCCGGTTTTTACTACCAGGAATCCGTTCCAATTCGAAATTGAACATCCAGATGTACGTCAGCCATCTGGCAACCGTCGGATCCGATGGAACGTAATTCCTTGAAGAGTAGGCCAGCGCGGTCGGATCCACTCTCAAAATAAACCTCCTGCCGAAGATGTAGTTCCGGAAGATTCGCAGACAGTGGAGGACAACAAGGGTCTCCCTCTTGAACTGAGAGTAGTTCCTCTCGGTCGTACAAAGGGTTCGACTCTCAAATCGCAAGGGTCTTTCATTTCCCTCCATGTCCACCTGAATTAGAACTCCCCCTAAGGCAGTCGGCCCCGCATCTGTTTCAACAATGAAGGGTCGTGTTTCCTTGGCATCATAATCTGATTCTCCTAGCACCAACCCTCCTTCTCGAAATTCCTCCTTCATCCCAACCACCACCTCTTTTTGTTCTTCACCCCATACCCATTCCTGATCCTAATGGACTAACTTTCTCAGGTGTTCAGGCTTAGCGGCAAAGTTCTTGACGAAGGCCCTCCAAAATCCACACGTACCAAGGAAGCTCCTGACATCAGTTATTGAGTGGAACGAAACAGGCCACTCAGTAATCTTGTCCGTCTTCTTCACATCCGGTCTTCGGCCCTTCTTGCTGCAGTCGAACCCCAAAATAGTCGCTTCCCTCATACAATGTCTGGATTTGGCCTCGCTTGCCGTGAGGTTATGCTCCTCGAGCAGGCTCAGGACTTTTTCGAGGTCCTGGATATGCTTCCAGACAAAGCGGCTCACCCCTGGTGAGACTTCGTCGCTTTCCTTCACTGCCGGCCCCTTCACCGCCAAGTCATCGATGTATGGCTGTGTGATATGGGGGCTGACTGACTGCATAGCCCGAATCATGGCCCGTTGGACCATTGCTACCGCATTGGTCCACCCTTGTGGGGCCACGTTCATGTGGATTAGCCCTCGCGGCGTGTGCATAGCCGTCACAGGCATGTCCGACGGGTAGACTGGGAAGTGATCATATACTGAGTAAAGGTCTATAAGTGAGATTATAGGCCTTCCAGCACAGGATTCTGACGGCACGTGTGCATTGGGCAATCCTCCAGCATCCTGCACGGTCACCGCATTCAGTCTTTGCAAATCTTGCACCCACGGCAACGTCCCGTTAGGCTTGATAAAGCAGAACCACGGGGACGCATACGGTCCACTCGAATAGTCGGCGACGTGCATACGTATTTTGTCGTCGAGGTAATCCACCACCTTCTTTTCCTCGTCAGGATTGGGATATCGCGCCCCTCTCATGTTCCAAGGCTCGTGTGGCACGATGTGGATGCAGATCATAGGTATCTTGTCTACATCCAGCCTGCCACGCTCCTCGTCATTAAACGCATAGGCGCGATGCTTCCTTTTCATCAACTCCACCATCAACGCTCGCTCATGAGGCAGTAGGAAGTCGGGTTCCCCTATAATCAACTTCCCCTCGTTCCCTTCGTTGATACGACATGGCCCTGCTAGAGCACTCTCCCTCATTCGTCGTATCAGCCCTTGTTCCCTCTCATAGTATGCCTCCTCATCTTCTGTAACGAGGACGGAAACCGGATGATACTTCTTATCTACCGTCTTGTACCGCCTTTCGAAACCCTGCTTGAGCCGCCCCCTAGAAAAGGCCGAGTCACAGATTGCGCCTGCGCTGATGCGGGGCTCCTCCCGCCGCTCGGAAGCCGATATACCAGCTCCAACCTTCCTGCCTCGGGGCATTCCAGAACTTGCTCCCTCTAGGCTTGGATGGCATCCGGATCTACCATTTCATGCGCGGCCACCAAGTCCATGACCTTTCCAACATCTGACAGGCTGAGGGAAAACGCTTTCACCTCCTCTTCTCCTTCTGGCTCCGCCCGAAGCCTTCGGCGCTCGCCCTCCGATTCTTCGATCGTGAAGGATCCTGGGCTGGGCCGGTTCCTTATACTCCTTGGCCCTGTATTCCTGCAGGTAACTATCTCGTAATTCCCGCAGGCAGGGCCGCATAGGAGAAGGATTAGAGTCCCGTCATGCTTGTTAAACATCACGGTCTCTGTCCTACTTAGGAACGATCTCCCCAGGAGGATTCCATGATCCACGTCAGGCATTATAAAGAAGCATGCCCTGGCCTTCACCTTTCCAACCTCGATGAGTACATTCGAGGTTGTCCTACAGAATATGGCCTTGCAGCTGGCTCCGTGCAGAATATCGCAGTCAGAACGGTCTATATCCAGCCCGAATTTGATTGGGTCCTCTTCCCGAATAATGTTCATTTCGGCCCCGGTGTCCACCATTGCCGCACACTTGGAGCCCTTTACCACCAAATCCACTGTGTCGCAGACCACGCACTTCCAATCCATCTTCGTGCCTGACTCTGCCCACTCTGCCTCCTTGGGCAGGATCGTGCCCGGATGGACATTGGGCACCAGGCGCCGTGACAACCTCCCTTTCAATTCATCGCGGAGCCGCGGGGCTGACGCCAGGATCTCCTTCAGGGTCATGAGATCATTATGCCCTTCTAGCAGTCGGTCGATCACTTTTTCCACGTCAAACCCCTCCTCCAACCAAACCGCATACTTCTTTCTTTTGGGTGGTCCGTCGCGCACGACCGGCTCGACCTCTCCCCTGGCTCCCTTTTTCCGTGCCCGTTGCTCCGCTCTTTGATCCTCCTCCCTGCGCAGCCTCTCGTCTTCTTCCTCCTCATTGTTGTCATCCTCCACTTCCACGGCCTCTTTTTTTTTCCTGTCTCCAGCTCCCTCCTTGGAGGTTCTTGGCTGGCGCTGGCTTTGGCTTGATTTCTCGTTCGTGCAGCTTGTGCCAGCCGGGCCTGCGGAGTGAGGGGTCTCCCCATCATTCCTGATTGTGGGCACGATCCCACCACATTTACTCTGAGTCGCCCAGGCGCTGACTCTGGACCAGAGTCGTAGAGGAACACCTTGGGGATGTTAGACTTTCATTTCCTCACTTCCTCACAGAGGCCCACCAACTTCTGTTGGTACCTCCCTATCTTATCCAGCAGGTGCTCCATTTTCCCCAACAAGACAGACGAAGGTTCCATCCTTTCTTCCTCATTCTCGTCATCTGACTCAATGATTATGGGTTCCTCCCCCTTACTTCCTCCTCCTGGCCCTTGAGTCACTTCCTCATCGCTTCCCACTTCCTCTATCCCAATCGGTGATTCTTCCTTTTCCTGCCATAACCTAAATATGGCAGGGGGTGGCGGCCCATCTGCCGCCCTTCGTTGGGCTTCCGCCCTCACTCCTCCAAGCCTTCTATCAATGGTCTCCCCAAACTGATCGTAGATGTTCCCATCCATAGTGGATGAAATCAGCCCGCTCCTCTCGTCTTCCCGTCTTATATTACAGAACCTTATGGTGTGACCTTGTTGGTGACAATGTTGGCAGATGGTCGTTCTCCAGTCAAAACGGGGTCTTTCATACCCCTGAATTCCCTGATCCCCCTGGCCTTGATACCCCACGCCTTGGTACCCTTGGCCTTGGTACCCCTGGCCTTGATTCCCTTGGCCTTGGTACCCCTGCCCTTGACTATTCCATTGCCTTCCTCTTCCGCCGCCATTCCTGCCTTGCCCTCTTCCTTCACCCCTCCCTCCGTTGCCTTGATTGCCCTGCCCCTGGTTCCCACCTCCAGCCACGCTTCCCTGTGAACTAGGAGCGGGTGACGGTGGCGGGGCCACAGGCTGGGCCTGGGCTGCGGGGTAGATGGGTGGCGGCATACTCGTTTGTGGTCCGGCTACTGGCGGCGGGCTACCCCATGGTACGATTGCATTAATCACCGGCCAGGGCCACTGTCCGTAGGAGGGCGCCCCTCCTTGCGAGGGGCCTGTACTAGATGATGGAGCCGCCATATTTAAAGGGGTCGCTGTCAAGGCCTGAGGCGCCTCCGCTTTTCCTGATCCCTGTCCGCCCTGCGCCAAGTTACGCTCTTTGAGTTGGACCTTCATCAGGTGCAGCGGCATCGGCTCTTCCTCTTCCCAGAGCTCCTCCTGAACAACCTCCTCTATCACCGGCTCCTTTCCTTTCACTTGGATAGCCGTTACTACCCTCCTTTGCACCACCGGCTCTGTCGCATACCCCAGCTGTGCCAATACGTCTGTAACAATCCTTGTTACTCCCGGGGTCCCAGAAGTGGTTGCATCTCTTTTCTTTCTCTTCTGCCTTTGCCGGCGTACTTGACGTTGCTCCACCTGGTCCAAACACCCACTTCCACCCCTCTGTCAATAATGGCCCAGGTGAGCTTGGTGCTACCTCCTCCATGCCTTGTCAACTCGACGGCCTCCTAAGCTGTGAGTAGCCCCAGGAAGATGGCGCACTGTGCTTCCTCCGAAATCCCATGGACCTTCCGCGCCCTCTTCTTAAATTCTTGAACAAAGGGCCCTATCGTCGTAAAATCCTCTTTGTTCATCGCCTCAAGGTCCGCGGTAGTCAATAGCCCATCTCCCAGGCGGTATTTCCTTTGTATCCCCTCCTTGAACCTCTCCCAGCTACCTCGGGCCGCATCTATGACTTTCTTCACTTCCTGGTAGTAGCTGTGGAGGACATACTGAAGAATGCGTTGGAACTTTACAACGTTCGACAGCCCAACCAAAGCTTGTTCCACCCGTTCCAGCCACTCTGAGACTCTCTCCCCACAAAAATGGAAGGTATGGACTTTAGGGATATTGCTCGGGTTCCTTTCATGTCGGTCAATGGCCGCAATGAGGTCATCGAGCGTCAGACCCTTCTTGAGACCACCCGATGCGCCGCCGCCCTGTGACATCTTGACAAATTTTTTTCTTCAAGCTCCCTGATAAGAAAGAAAAAACAAGCATACCTCTTTTATTCAGCATCGCACCTTGACCGGTCTATTCCATCCGTCCTACCTAACTCTTAGTACTTACTTTCCCCAATGCTAACAGGATCGTCCCGCATACTTCCCCTAACTCAGGACAGTAAACTTCCTCACCTATACTTAGTCACTCATTTCTTTTTCCTCATATTCTCGCCCTTCCTTTATGTCTTTTCTCATTCAATTCTCATACCCGGATGTCGTTCCACCAGGGACAACGGTAGGCTTTCCGTTATCCTCGACAACGGCGCCACCTATCGGGCGCATCGGTCCGGCACCGCACCAGGGCAGCGCARGACCCTCCCGACCGCGTCACGCAGGAGTTGGTTTAAATCCTTCGCCGCAAATTATACATGTGGAGCTTCCGCAAGCCGTTCCGGCCGAGTGCACCAGCCATACCTCTCGCGAGCACCTACGACAGGATAGGGCCTACGCAAGGCACGACTTACCTACACCTTACGGGAGCTGTCACCTCCCATCGGTGGGCGTATCCCCGCCGAGCTACCAGTCCACAGTACAAAAGCTAATCAGTTGTAATCACAGAGGTGGATCAGCCGAGGGCGTTTCTTGTTCGCTGTAGCATAGGGGGTACGCACGGTAATACGCCTCTATCGGACCCGTACACGAACCGACAGCTTGGGGGGCTGAAGTCTCAAGCGCGATTCGACGTCGGTCGACTAGGACGCATCTCACACACCACGCGCACTCCACTTTATAAACATACATACACACAAAACAACACATATATGAAACGACACAACACAAACAACGCGACAATGCTCCTAGCCCCTCGGTAGCCAACCCATAACTTTCCTATGCGAAAATCGGGTAGGCGTCGCACACGAGATTTAGGATAAAACCGCGCGGACGTCGAACCTACTCATATCGACTCGCAATGCAAGCGTACGCAAGCAGTCGCAATGATGGCGTACTATGTAGTGTCCAGAATCAAGCGGTCCCTTGTGGATCCGAGTAATGCTTTATGACACTCAAGTGTCAGACTCGAAGTATCGTGAGGGTCTAATCCCTCACGACATTGCACGGCTGAAGGAATAGTCATGCAGCCGCCTCGAGACCTCCGGCCTTTGGTCTGAGCGTCTCGGTAGGCAAGGCAAATAGGCTCTGCACGGGGGCAGATTCCTTCCGTGCAGAGTCTAGGGCTTGGGATGTCCTGGACAAGGACCTCGAATCCCGGCCCAGGACCAAACGTCCGACTAAGAAAANGGGGGCAGATTCCTTCCGTGCAGAGTCTAGGGCTTGGGATGTCCTGGACAAGGACCTCGAATCCCGGCCCAGGACCAAACGTCCGACTAAGAAAAATCATCAAAAAGTAAGAACAAAAATAGAAGGAGAGGCCTCCCCTAAGCCCCTCAGTCTCAACTTCTRAGTAGRACTTTAGTATGRRGGCTCTTCAACCCATKCAAACATTCATCCCAAGTATACCCATGTATAYATATATWWGGGTTAAGTATGTGATGATWACTTCACACGG